AGAAGTATCATTATAATGAATTACTATTATTATGAAATTCAATAAAATATTTATGGTTTTGGTTTTTAAAGGTATAATTTTATTTATACAAATATTTATTCATTTATCTATTCCTGACTATCAATCATAAGAAAATTATTTAGTACATTTCATTATATGTAAATAAACAGGCAACTCATCTACTTACTTTAAATTTCTCTCGCATTATGCCAATATACCGATAAATCATTGCTAAATTTAAAGGGTCAAAGTCACTGCAAAAGCCATCATACACCAAACATTCATCCATGTTTAGATAATAAACATTGTTGTCATTGAATGATTTTTTCCAATCATTAAAAGATTTTTGAATCTTTATAATTGGACAAAACAATAAAGTACTATTAAACAATTACATATTAAAATATACTTTCAACAGTAATTTGCAATAATATCTTAAAAAATATACATATATAAAATGTAGTCATACCTACAAGAGAACAAAAACATATTATTAAATTTAAAATTTAAAAAAAAAAAAAGTAGTACCTTTACTTTTTTTATTTACTATAGGTACTGTATTGAGAATTTCAATTTAAGTTAATAGCGGTAGTAAACGAACATTAGATTTCCAAAAAACTCTTTTACATTTACTAGACATATTATATTCACTGAAGAGAATATTTTGAAGACTACTTTTCTATAGTAAAAAAACTCGATTATTTAATGTTATCTTGTTAACCGTGATAATTATTATCAACATTCTTTTTGACAGATTATCACAAGAATTTGTAAATAGTAAAACAACACTATCTACTATATACATAGTACCGAGTTCACATAGAAATTGACTATGTACCATGTTTTTTATTTCTAAATTATAACAGAAATTTAAAATGAATGTACCAATGTTTAATGGATAATTAAATTCTATCTGTTACCTAATTAATTAATGCATACTTTTTGTATTGTTCTATATAAGTTGTTTTGCTTGGACTATTTTGTATTTAAAATTACAGCTGACACATAATAATATTATACAACAAATATACCTAGTCTATTACTGTAATATTTATTGATTAGAGGTAGGTAATTAACTTTTATTAGGCAATTTGCATTTTTGATCTGCTATTATAAATACAAATTAAATTATTTCCTGCACCTACATTGATAATATATGTGAAGGCGGATAGATACACCAACCTGTATGTGCATTACAAGTGTTGTAGGTGTTTAAATAATAATTTATTATGCGTGGGTTTTCAATATCATTGTTATGTAGGTTATATGGGAAATGTTTCCGTACATGATGTCCAGTTGTATATATATTACTAACTGTGTATTGATATTTTCTTGTCAGGAATATTGTAATAAATTATGTCAGCCGAATTTAACACTTTAATGACCAGCAATAATACTAATGGATTAGAAGTAGCTGAATTATCAGAATTTATTAAAGGTAAGGTTTAAATGAATGCTTTGTATTATTATTTTCTAAGTTAAGCATCTTACATCATAATTTTTAGTAAAAGTTTAGTTTACTGGACATCCATTGTTTTAATTTTTTTTTTTAATATGTGTTTGTCAATACAAATTTCAGAACTATTTAAAATTTTTTGCAGAAACCATTATTGTAGAAGTTATAGAATTTTTTGCTTAAATACCTAGTTGTTTTATATACATTTTTTTTACATTTGACTTCCATAGCTTCTATAATAATAATTTTCGCAAAAAATTCAAACAGTTCTAAATCACAGATTTAAAAAAATTTCTAAAACAAAGGGTGTCTGGTAAACTAGACTTCTTCCTAATTTGTAAATTACCTATATAGATCAGCTGTACTTTATGGTTTTGTCCAATTATAAAGATTCAACAACAATTCAATCTTTTAATGATTGGAAAAAATCATTCAATGACAACAATGTTTTTTATCTAAACGTGGATGATTTTTTGGTGTATGATGGCTTTTACAGTGACTTTGGCCCTTTAAATTTAGCAATGATTTATCGGTATATTGGCATAATGCGAGAAAAATTTAAAGTAAGTAGATGAGTTGCCTGTTTATTTACATAAAATGAAATGTACTAAATAATTTTGTTATGATTTATAGTCAGGAATAGATAAATGAATAAATATTTGTATAAATAAAATTATACCTTTTAAAACCAAGACCATAAATATTTTATTGTATTTCATTATAATAGTACTCTCTTAAATTTCAAAACTTAAAAAAAAAAAATTTACTTAAAATTGTATTTTATATTTTAAAACTATAGCATATTTAAAATGTGTAGGTACAATGTAGAGTATAATTTACTCAGAAAAAAACATATATCTATTTATGAATAACATAATTTGTCAGGCAAACATGTTTTAATATTTTAATTTAACAGGGATATCTATGAACAGTGTGTAGTACTCTATTGAAAACATTTTGTTTAAAAATGATAAAACCCATTTAAATTGTAAAATTTAATATGATCATTATCCCTCTAAATATATGATTTATATTTAAGGCCTAACATAATCTACGTAGTAAAAAATATTGAAAATTTGTATTATACATATGATTATTGTATTATTGTAGTATCATTCTCAAAACTTGATTGATTTATATATTTATGAGCATATTTGAAATATATAATATAATAGTAGGTGCAGATACTGTATTTATAAGTTATCTCCCAATTTGTTTTTATAAATAAATTATGTTAATTGAAAAACTAGTTATAACTGTAGACACAATAATTTAATTAAAAAGAAAAAAAATAAATATTTGATGCAATACCCATTTAAAACATTTTTAATTTTTTTAAACTGTACATACATATTACTTTGCTTAAATATAGTAATACTATTATTATTTAATATTTGAACCCAGTATCACATATTTTGTTTAAAAAAAAATATAAAAATTTAATATTGCACTCAGTATACAATTAAATTACCCTATAATTTACCTACATCCTACTTTATTTTAATCACTATTGATAATTCAAATTTTTAGGTATACAAGAAATTGGTCCACTGTTCTAATTTAAGCGATCAAAAGAAACGAGCCAATGCTGCATTTCTTATTTGTGCATACGTGGTATGTTTATAATGTTGACAATATAGCTAAAGTTAGTAGACCTAAATATAGGGAGAGCAATTGTACATGCATTATGTGATTATTGTGTATACTTAAAATTAATTTGTTGTTATATTCTACATAATTAATATCCATGTTGAGTTTATGTAATTTCATTTATAACTATTATAAAAATGAAAATTATTTTAATAGATAGTTGAA